GGAGAAGCTCTCCAGATATGGGGACCAGGGTCATGTCGTGAAGCTGCTTAGAAGGTTTAGAAAGACAAAAGAAGGCCCATCATCACCCAGTGCATGAATAGCTTGTGGAACTCACTGCCACAGGATGTGGAGAGGGCCACCAAGTTGGATGGCTTTCTGAGGGGGCTAAGTACACTCCTGGAGGACAGGTCTACCTTACTGACCTTGAAGACTCCATGTTACCTCTGGATTGGGGGGCAGAAGCCTCCAAATACGGGCTGCAGGGGGAGAATTTTGGGAGAGGGACACATCTCCACCTCCTGCTTGCCAGCACCCCGGAAGCCTGGTCACCAGGAGAAACCAAATGTGGATTAAGGTGGGCCTTGGTGTGATCCAGCAGGGCTGTTTTCAGGTTCTCACGTGGCACAGGCCCTTCCTCCGACAAACTGAGTGGCCCCACAGAAGCCATTCAGTTATTTGGGGACCTTGATTCCCACACACAAAAAAAGCTTCCTGCCTTATTGGTGCATGGTAGTTGGCGCCGGTTGGGGAGTTTGGAGAGCTGCCGTGAGAAGACCATCCTACGTGCTGATTTCCATTGGGGGTTACATAGTGGGCCTGTTTGGAGGGGGCAGGCAGTGGGCCTGCTCCTCAGTGGCTCTTGCCTGGCTCTGCGCTTCACACACACACACACACTCACACACACACCCCACAGAGGGATCTCCCTTGCCCTCGTGGGTGGCTCTGCAGGGATGCTTACACTGGCCGGACGAGGCTGTGCTGTGTCCATTGTCTGGGCACAGGGTGGCCTTTATCCCAGCCAGGCCAGAGATGCCATCTGCTACGCCTCATTTTTCTCCTGAAGGTCTCCTTTGTGGGCACTATGTTGTCACTTGGAGAGCTCTAGACTCGCCTTTTGCCACCCTGCTTGCTCCCATTTTACAGGCCAGCTGAGGCTGAAGGAGAGGGGAGGCTGAAGCCGAGAAAGAGAGACCAAGAGCGATGTGGGGATTGCCCAAGTCTGCGTGTGGTGCACATAAAAAACAGAGCTTTGATCGCACCGTTGTGGCCTCCATCGTGACTTTCTTGATTGGACCCTGCAGTCCCCCTGCCCAGGCTTGGTTCTCCCCTAAGGCTAAGGCACGAACCGTGTGCAGAAACACAGTGGTTGAGTTCACCCCTAAGGTGTCTGGAGCAGTCCACAACGATGCAGAAATGACTGCGTGTCGCATCACCACAGTGGCCACCCTGGCCCCTCGTGCCTGCGTCCCGATATCTGATGCTTGGTGCCGTGATGTTGGGGCACGTGTTTTGCCATCTGCCCACAGGGGACGCTGTGAGGCTTTGTGACAGGAGAGAAGTCACTAAGGCTGAGGGTGTGCTGGTTTGGGGGCCGGCCCTGCCCGGAGGGGAATAACCTCAGACAGGTTGGACCAGGTTGGGGTGGGAAGACACCCCTGAGGCTCAGGCCCAGGATTGGTGGGAGGGAGGAGGGAGGTCTGGGTTTGGAGTACCCTTGCCTTGTGGAGGGCTGGAGTGTGGCATGCCCTTCCCTGCCCCATTCCTGCCACCACTCAGCAGAGCAAGTGCCTGAGAGTGGACAAGCCTGCTGGTATTTTTATGAGAAGAGAAGGTGAGGGGTCTGGCAACCCGCCTCTGGGCCAGTAAGAGACCCGCAGAGCTGTTCGGACAGGGTCCTGTACAACTGGGCTGAGCCTCTGTCCACCCTGGCACAGAGACCCCCCCCCACCGTTGTCCTCTCTGGGGTCCCCCTCAGGATCCCTCCTCCTCCAAGGATCCAGGGGTTTCCTTTGGGGGCTGGTTTCTCTCCCGGGCCGGTGGCATGTGCCAGAAGAACCCTGCTCTCTCCTCTCCTCCCTGGGTTACGGGGTCTTTTCCGAGTTGGGGTCGTAGTTTTGCACATCGGCAGCGTGGCTGAATTGGTGGCGCATGTGTGCGGAGGAATGTGGAATGCAGCGTGCGTGGGAGGGAACAGATGGACATGGCTGTCTCTTTTGGTAGGGAAAGGGGTGAACATAAATAAGTGGCTTCCCCTGGGGGATTGAAAATTAGGCTGGGGGGTGAGCGTCAGGCTCTTTGAAAACCCCCCTAATGCTTCCTTTCTTCTTTTCCTACAGAGTCGCGGTCCACACCATGGCGGGAGCGTAGCCGTACCCCCCCACCAGCCGCGCCTCGTGGCCCAAGACGCCGCATGGGCCCGGTGTGGGGGGGGAGCCAGCCAATGAGAAAGCAGCGAGGGGAGCATGTTCCTCCTCTGGTGAGTGGCCAAATCAGGCCTCGCATGGACTTTGGGCTTTCGGTTTCCCATTCCCTTTGCGCTGTTCGCTGTTGGTTTTATTGCCCCCGAGAGTCGGGGTGCCTGTTGGAGTGTTTGGGGGAGGAATGAGGCGGAAGAAGTTAAGACTACTCTCAAGCCAGCCTCTGCAAATCCTGGGGTCCTCCAGAGGTGTTTGAATAAAAACACCACTTTCCGGCATAGCTCCTAGACATGCTGGCCAGTAGCGATGGGAATTGTAGTCCAAAGAATCTGGAGGGGAAGGTCCAGCTTGGAGCCCCTAACAGAGAACTGAGGAGGATGCACTAACGCATGATGGACGCGGCCCCAGGGGATCCTTTCCGTCGCGGGAAAGTAAAAGTTAGTCCTGAGGACCCACAGAGCTACGCGCTCGAGGCAGATGTTGGAAGGGGAGTGGAACTGATGAAGTACGGGAGATTAAACGCTCACCAAAGCAGAATGAGTTTTCAGGTGACCCACTGGCAAACAGATTTATTTTTTAAAAGGAACACAGAAACAGAAACAGTGAAACAATTACAGCTTGTTCAGCACATCTCGGCTACTTTTTAAAGGACGTGGATGTCTTAAAACCACGTTTAAAGTTTTTGGTGCCGCGTCTGCAGCCTGCGTCAAAACCTCCGTCTGTACGTAGCTGTGCCCGCGCATCTTTGCACTTCCCCTGCACTCGAGAGAGACAGCATCATGCTCCCTCTGGAATGTGCCGTGTACAAATGCCCCCTCCCAGCTGCTCTCTTCCTCGTCCCACCCTGCAACTGCTGCGTGCTGGCGCGGGGTGGGCCGGCCTTGGACTCCTCCAGTGCTTTCCCCGCCCCCTGGCGCAGGGCCAGCTAAGCAGCTGGGCCCGGTGGGCGGGAGGGGGAGCGAAATGGGGAGGGAGGATCCACTACGTAAGGGCTGGGAGGAGGAGGAAGACGGCGACGAGCGAGTGACTCACACGCTTCCCCACAAGCAGCCACTGTGACCTTAAAAGGCTCCTTGTTGGAGTGAACAGTTAACCCCCCCCCCGCCGCTGCCTTCACTGCTGCCATGCCTTTGAAGCCGGGCCCCCAAACAAGCCTTCCAGCTTCCCTTGGCGCCTGGTTTCTACCATAAGCTTCCCAGGAAGCACACTCTCGCTCTCTTTTTTCCTCCCATCATATTATGATTGGCTTTGGGTAGAAAGATGGACGGGCTGTTGATGTTCACACGAGCGGAATTGTTCAGATGTACCCTCTCGCTCTTGTCCCAAGGGGCCCTGGAATGAGGGGTGACCCCATTCGGACATTGTAAACTCTTACGCTGCTACCAAAAACGGATGGACGCGTGAACCTGCGGGGATGTTCGCTTTCCTCTGAGTGTGCATGCGCACCCTTTCTCTCTTTTGCTGTAGTGCCTTTGATCGGGCACCCTCCGCAAGCGCTGGGGCTCCTCCTGCGGGCAACGATGGGGAGATGTAGTCCCAGATGGGGAAGTGCCTTCGAAGGGGTCTCTCCCCACACGCTTGTGAACAATGAAGCTGCAGAGACTTGCATCATTGCGGTTGGTCAGTGTCGTTGGACACTGTATATGGTTGCAATTGGACGTTGGTCGCATGAGGCCTCCAGATGCGCCGCTGAAATGTGGAACTCTGTACCCGGTTTGTTTGCCTTACGTGAGGCCGAGCGAGCAGGGACTCTTGTGTACACAAGCACACACTTGCCCCTTCTGTTTTGTTATGCGCGCCGCTACGGTGCCTGGAATTCTCCTCCGGGTGGACTGAGGCTGCCCTGAGAACTCGTTTCGATCCAGCGGGGAAAAGGTTACAGCTCTGATGACGTGAGCACGGGCTGCCACTGCACCGGCAGGAGCTGGCACGATCCTGGCGTTCTTTGCTGGCGTGGCCAAGTTTTTTTCCTCTTTCCTTATAATTGCTTAATGGTTGCTTTGGCAATGCTGCTACCGCTTCCTCGCACAACTTGGCACCTGGATGGACAGGGAAGAAAGGGCTGGCATGGAGAAGACGGGTCCGGGCGATCCAAAAGATGTTGGGTTCTCGCTCCCTGGTTGCTCCTTCAGGCCGTGACAGAGGAGGACAGCGGTCGGGCTTTTCCTTCAGTCCACCTGAGCGCATGTGACGGGGGCAGGTCTTCCACGGTTGTGCCGTTATGAGGTGTGGGCCCGCACACGGTGTACGGTGAGCCGCGGCAAATGACCTTTTGGTGATACGTGCCGTGTGACATCGCTGGCATGTTTGTCTTCAGCGTCCTTGGACAGGGGGCTCAGTCTAGTATGTGCGGTCGTGCGTCTTCTGAGCGTGCCTTTGTGCTGGCCCTTTCCGTGCGAGTGCAGGGAACGGTCCTCGAACAAATCAACAACACGCTGATTGTGCACTAGAAGGACCTGTGTCTGTGTTCAAACTCAGACAGCCGGGCCTCCTGTTATTCTGCGGTGCGGTGGCCTCTTTAGCACGAAGCCGGTATGACTGTGCTGTGGTTGTTTTTCTTGCGTTTCTTCAGAACGTGCGCCAGGGAAGGGAGCTGTACGGCGGCTGGAGCCGTGCAAGGGAGGAACCCGCTGGGATTCCCTGGCGGGGCAGAGCTTCTGAAGAACTGGGGGCGGAGGAGGGAACTAGACTTGCGGGGGGGGGCGGTGATGAGGTAATTCCAGCCCTTTAAACAGTGACAAATTTTCCGGGGGAGGAAAGGGGCTGAGTCACTTGTGGCCGGAATTTACCCCACACACATGCTCCACTAACTTGGCAGGAACCCCGAACCCCACATGGTGGCCGGGGGGGAGGGAGGAGAGAGAAAGACACACCAGTGGAGGGCAGGAAAGGAGTTACACAAGTTACATACTCATGGTGTGTCCCTTTAGCCCATTAGTTGAGGCACAGAGGCACTAGTAAACACTCCTGTAGGGACACATCGCCACGACGTGGAAACGGCTCCGCCTCTCGCGTCCACCCCTTGTGTGCCAGGAGGTAAGGCCATACTACTGTCCGTGTGTGTGTGGTGGGAGAGATGTCTGGGCATAGGAGTGAGCGCACTGTTTCTGTGTACAAGGACCTTGCCATTCTTCTCCCCCATACAGCAAATGTGAGCCGGTACGCACGGTTGGTGAAAGTCTCACGCGGTTGGTAGATTTGTTTTTGTAATTTAATTAGGCTCACTGTTCACGCGCCTCACCCCATTTGATCCCCTTGGCCTGCCTCCAACTTGAATCGAGGGACTGTGGGTTTATGTCTTTGACTGGTACGCGCTGACGTTGCTCTTTTGTTTTTTACTTTTTTTAACTCTTTGGCCATGGTGTGTGAGGGAGCACAATTCACCTAAGAACACACGGATGTGTTTCTGCATGTCTTCCGGTTTATAGAGGTTGTGGTTGTGACTACGGGACGGTCTCTTGACAGTCGTGATTCTCTTTGCGAGTGAATTTGCGCAGAGCGTTGTGGGTCTGTTTCACTGGGTTGTGAGGTCACTGGAAGCGGTTAATGGATCTGCGCGGCAGTGTGGCAACTTTGTGCGAGGGCCGCATTGTGTGGAAACCGTTCGTGCGCCTACCGTTCTCTGCCCCCCACCCCACCTCCCCAAATCTTGAGCTTTGGAATCTCTTTCGTAACTCCAAGGCAGCTTTTGACAACTTGCTGTCCCCCCAGTGTGGGGCTGGGACTGCAGTTCCCAAAATACCCCTTCTTCCAGCTGTGATGGCCAGGAATTCTGGAAGCCGTCACCCCGCTACCTCTGGAGTGGGTTGGGGGCGAGCACGTGTCTTTTGGCAGGGTTGAGATGAATATTCTCTGGATGCCTCTGGGTGAACCTCTGTGCTTGATCTGCGCGTGTCCCCGGCGTTTGCTGCGCGTAAATCCCCCCCCCCCAGCATTCAAAATAAGGGGCCTTCACGTGTTTGCTTTCTCTTTCCGACACCGATGAAGGGAGGGGGAGCGGGAATTGGCAGAAAAGAAAGGGGATTTCCCATTCCAATCCCTGATCTATAAACCTCGCGGAGGGGTTTTCCTGCACTGTAATTCCTGACCTTCCTCTTGAGCTACGCGTATGTGTAAAAACCGTGAAAACCCTTCGGGTGAGTTGTATATTTATCAGGCTGACCTTTCCTGGAAAGGGGGAGGAGACGTAACACGGCTCAAAGCCACACTGTGCACCCAGTGAACATTCATGCACGTTCCCTGCTCCCCCCCCCCCAGCGTCTGTGTATTTTTTTAAAGGAATCGGTTGGTGCATTGCTGTGTGAGACTTCTCGCCGCATTTGTGTGTGTAAGGAGTGTCATCGGGGATCTGAGAGGCCTTCTTGGGCAAAGCTCCCCTTGGCAACTGAGTTTGTCAAAGGGCAGAGCTGTCGTCGTGAGCACGGCGGCTGCTGTGGTGTGCGTCTGTGTGGGTCTGGCCATTCCTCTGGCGCCCCTTCTGCTGCGACAATCAAGGTGGAGGGGTTTCGAGAGCCCCTGCGCGTGGTTGCGCCTTTCACAGCCAGGCGTGTGTCTCTTCTGTCTCTGAGTGTGACAAAGTGCACCCCAGTGCATGTGAGGGGGGAGTATGTTTATTATTATGTGTCTGGGAACGAGCACGAGTGTGGCGTGGGTCTGAGTTGATGGGGGTGAAAAACAGGACATGCCGGGGGGGGGTGCTGATTTTTCAGGTATGTGAACCAAAGTGGTTCTCTTTCCCCCCCCCCCCCGCATTACATGCACTTCTTCCTCGCAATGCTCAGTAGTTTCCAAGGGGGGGGTGAAGGGGTGATGGCCTTGCTGGCACTGACTCAGTGCTGACGCAGCTGTTCTTGTGAGCATGTGGGGGGACCTTTCTTTGTGCCTAATGAATCACACCCTCATACACACCAAACAGGCGCCCTCCGCCCCCCCGCCACCTCCAAAAACAAATCCCAACCCTACATCCTGGAAGGCTGACCGATCCATATTTCCCACGCGTTTCTCCCTGAGCCTCCCCCACGTTATCCAAGCCACCCACCACAGCCACCGTTGAACGGAA